AGTACCATCCAATTCCTTTGACAAACAACTGAACTTAATCTTATGCTAAACTTATGCTTATATAGAAAATTAGTATGTAAGCGAACCGACGAAAATAACAAAGTGGTTATTGCATACGGCAAAATGGCCTGACAAAACAACAGTAGAATGATATGCTAAAGCTAAACGCATAACCTGCTAACGGTGATTCCTGTTGTTCTTGTGTGCTTCACAATGGTCTGACCCAAACAACGATAGAAATGCCGAACCTAAAATGCGCCAGCTGATAATGATGATGCCAGATTGTACCTAGAGAATGGTGCTGCCAAATTGTATAGCATAAATCTCTCAAGTTAATTGAACTTATGATGAATCGTTAACATTCCTCCCCGGCTGAACCTTCTACGGCAAAACTTTTGCACTGGACGTTGGCAGTAGTGTTTTACAAAAAGTCCTTCAGGTGTACGTTTGTCACTGTTATATTCCGATAAATATTCATAGTTCCAACGCTTCCAGAAGTGTTCGAACATTCTTTGTAATTGCTGAGAATATAAAAGACGATTTATTGGAACATCCACAACAGCTGGTTCCGGTCTCGCATTGAGCGGTCGACCAATAAGAAAGTCGCTAGGTGTGAGAGCGTAACTCCCACTGGGATCATCGTGAGGAGGAACGAGAGGCCTGGAATTCAAACAGGCTTCAATCCTAACTAGTAGAGTACTTAGTTGATTGAAGCGTAAGATTTGGCGACCAATTGTGCGATAGAGATGTTTTTTTGCTGAACGTACAGCTGCCTCCCAAAGACCTCCATGATGGGGTGCGGCTGGAGTGATGAATTTCCATTGCGTTCCGGAAGATGCTATATGCTGAGTTGCGTATATATTTCTCCAACTTTGTAGGTCTTGATTCATAACCCGACTAGCACCTACAAATTGCGTTCCATTGTCGCTATAAAGAACCGAACATATGCTGCGTCGGCTTATGAAGCGATCAAACACATCGATAAACGCCTGACTTGACAAATCTTCCGCAAGTTCGATATGTACGGCCTTTGGAGCCATACAAATGAAAATTGCGCCGTAAGTTTTAGTCATTGTAGTGGATCGCTTTCCTCCATGACGAACGTTGAGTGTACCGCAATAGTCCAACCCGGTATGGGTAAACGGTGGGGCAACCATAACGCGGGATTTCGGAAGTGACGACA